AGACTGAAAACATAGTTAACAATTAATCATCATAATTATTTCAAAGAATTCATAATAACATCTCTTTTCAAAATTCCTGCATTACGTCTAATTTCGCGTAAATTGTTACCAGTATTTTCGTTATTAGGGTCGGGTATAGTGATAACACTTATTTCATCTTCTCGTAAAGTACAAATATTATGAATTACGCAACACGCAACGATATACTCTGCCATTAAATYTACTCTAGTCATTGGGAGACAATGTAATAAGCTCCTCATTCGTCCTTTCAATAATCCGATGCATCTTTCAACAGTAACCCGAGCAGCTGATTGACGATAATTGTATTTTTTCTGTTTCTCACTTAAATGTTCATTATCTCGATAAGGAATGAGTAAGTGCTGATGTATTTCATATGCAGAATCGCCCAAAATATGACTGTCTTCAGGGAATGCATCATCATCGTTCAAGTAATCTGCAACTTCTGACAAACGAAAAACTCGTTGATCATGAACAGACCCTGGATTTCCAGCATAACAATGGGTTATTAGAGCTTTGTGGTCACATACCAACTACAAAAAAAATTTAACTCTTTGAAAATCTATTTTAATTATATACCAAAATTAATATACTTAAATATAACAGTTATTAAATACTTGTAGCTGAATAGAATGGAATCCTTTCCGATTGATATAATCTACTGGATTCTGTTTTGGCGCATTTATACGAATGTGAGTTCCATCGATGGCTCCTATTGTTTTAGGAAAACCACTTGCTCTCTCAAATCCGCGCATTACTTCAATAGCATGATCCCCCGTAGGCCATTGTATAAATCTTGAGGCTCTTTTAAATAAAGCATGACAAACTTGACGTACAGCCCTTACGGCAGTAGCTCGTCCTACGTTAAATCTGTCACAGACGGACCTACCATAAAATTAAAAAGCAAAAGTTTAGTCACATACTTCTGAACTGTGCTACATTCGACAGAATAGTTTATTTCTAAAATTATGAGACCTGTAAGAATCTGTTGTAGCCATTTTCCAAAGGGCTATCATCAATTGATGATGGGAAGGAATCGTAGGACATCCAGGAACATGCCGAACTAAATCTTCTTGTATTAATTCATGTAAATAATTAAATGTATTTCTTGAAAGTCTAGAAAAAATAACAAAGATTTACACAAGATAAATTTCCATAATCTATAATGTTACAGATATGCGATAGATAATCATTTACCTGAAATGACTTTTGAATTCATCATCTGAGTAACGATAAGCAACGTTTTCGTAATCAATAATACGGGGTCGAAGTTTTCTTTTTTCATGATCATATTTTTGTAAAATTGTAGACCATTCTTCATCTGAACTGGATGAACTACTACTTTCTGAAGCATTCACCAAATATCCAACGGTTGCCGCCAAAGACATTTTTAATAATATTTGAACGTAAGTTAATTAAATACACCATTAATTATCAATTTTTTCAATACGGATCAATGTAATCAGTAATTATTTAAGTTTATTTTGAAGCATTACAGATTAAATCTTAACCTCTTTAATCTTTTACTTTCTTTTCACTACCTCGCCATTTGTATTATTACCTCCACGCTCAAAACGCACCATAGTCCATTCCACTTGAATTTACGACAGTAACGCTCGTAGGTAAGTGGAACGGGAAAAACTGTGGTCGTGAGCGTGATCGTTGTGAGCGCTTAGTGGAACGCACCCTATATAGTATTGAAAAAATATCAGAATATAGATAATATCAGATCATACTAATAAATGTAAGGGAGATATATCGAATTACTTTATGCCGTAAATTTGAAATCGCTTCGCCCGCGCATCGTAAATACCGGAAGACGTTGATCGCTTTCGGAAGCTTTTTTGGTCGGGGTGCGCACGCATCGTAAAAATTTACTCTCGTCATTTTTTTCCAAACGCGCCAAAAGAAGTATAACTTCAAAAATTCTACTTATTAAAGCAAACCAAATAAAAAGTGACAATTCTAAATACTAAGCATAAATTTGTGAAAATTGATAAAAGTAAGAAAAAACTTGTATCGGAATCTATTAAATTTTATAATAGCACAAAATTTGGAGTTGATATAAAAAGCTAGTTCTTCTCGTAAATGGCTCCTACAAATAATTTCCAATATTTTAGATTTGGCTACCATAAATGCTCTTATGTATTTTATGTCGTAACCATTGGAAAATGATATTTATATGCAAAGATCCGATGCTAGAATGGAGTCTTTTTCTTATGTATCTTGGCCTTTAATTAGAATAAAAAATATAGCGCTGCATACTTAGCTAAGACTATTTATGAAAGTAGTTTATGTGTGTGTGTGTGTGTGTATGAAATTTAAAAAATATAAGAGTAGCAGAGCACCATAAATTGAATTAAAAAATAATATAATACATATATTTTACTCGGTAAAGTATTTTAACTGAACAGAATATTGCTATTCTACTTTCTATTGTCTGTTATAATATCAGGATAAGAAGAACGATTTGTAATTCATCGAGATTCTTAGATTAAAATCAGAAAATTATCATCGAATGGTTAAGGCATAAAAGAAATCGCACATGTTATTCAGTTTATTCATTTTCAACCTAAATTGATGATCACTATAGAGAAGAAATGAAACGAATTAAAATTAATAAATAATAATACATACCACAGTTAACCTCCAAAAACAAATAAATAATAATACATATCTAAGTTAACCTCGAAAAACTAAAAAATAATAAAACATATCTTAATTAACTTTAAAAAAGACTTTTATTACTAATATTCACAAATAATCAATGTTTTTAATGATATTTTTGAAGATATTCATAGTTTTTTAATATTAATCACCACCGCATTTAATAATGATAATAAACCAGTAGAAAAATAGGACGAGTATCTTCGTTAATGAACCCAGTAGTGCGTGCTTAGCAATGGTTTGAAGAGTGGGGAGGCATGATAACAACATTACGATATTCTTAATATTCTCTCAGAGAAAGAATATTCTCACTTCGAAATTATTAAAAATCATTGAGGCGCGTATTTCGAATATACGTTAAGAATTAGTCCAGTCAAAAAAAGAGCAAACTAGCAGATTGTCTGTTGGATCTGGGAAAACTTGATATAATAGTAACTTGACAACGCTGAATCGAATAGTGCTAATATTTTTGCAATTGGATCAGGAGATCTTTGAGAAAAAGGGTAAAAAAGCCATATCTTAGAATCTATGCATTTAATCGAAAAAAGTTTCAAACCAAAGTTGTGTTAAATTAAAAAATACATAAAAAATGTTGTAAGGTGTATCTTCGTATTTGCAAAAATAAGCGAAAAAATGAAGGTGAAAGGTAATTGTAAGAGAG